GATGTTTGTAAATAGCTCGTTAATCTGCTTCTTCCTGGTGAATTTTGACAAACAACGTTTTTTCACTCTCTAGGTTCCTATCACTGAAATAAGAGTTCCTTTTAATGGAAAGCAGGATCGTTTCATATTGTTTTCGGAAAGTAGAAGTCGTTAAGACCCACAGAATAAAGTACAATTAGACGGCGGTCATCAAAAATATATGATAATGTCTTTAATCGATAGATCCAACAAACATTTTCTCTAAACAATATGAGAAACTTGTGATCTGTAACCGAAGTTTATCATTATGCGACAATCCTCTCTGAATAATCGCCGCGAAATAAGGTTCATCAAAATTGGCAGATATTTAGATATATTTTAGTTATTCAGTGGTTTATTTAGAAAACCTGCTTCGAAAACAAACCTAATCCTATGTGGTGAGCCAACAAACTTCATAACTACTACCTCGATGTTTTCCATTTATTCAATGCAGACAAGTTTGTGACAGATCGACGTGTTCAGACGTGGAGTAAAATCCCACAGTAAATGGTTAATTTACTAATCTTCACGGGTTTCGCTTACTTGACGGAGGTGCTGCCGGACCAATTATACCTTCGCCCATTTGAATCCGGTTCACGTAGAACGCTTCGTTCTCCAAACTCCTCGGATCACCGGGATCTGAGCAAAAGTATGTTTTGTTAGGAAACATGTTACATTTTTGTTTATGACGTCAGTCACAATGCACATATTTTAACATTATCTAGGATGAGGAAAAAGTGTTTTATTATTTTCAGATACAATCAAATTTTACCAGTGAAGTGAAAGGTGGAACGGTTGACCAGGATTATACCTGTTTTAACAACTTTCTGCTTTACGAAAGCTCTGACAGATGAACGTTTACGAACTGCATGGATGAGCTACTGAATAATCCATGTTCACCGGTCGAACCTGCGTAATGCATATGAATGTTTTCTTGGATAGTGCACACTTCCCTGAATTCTGCCTCTTGAAAAATCGATAGTGGGCATACCAGTAATACCTTTGTTGGAAACAACCCAGAATAGAATGTTTGTTTACATCAAAGAATCGATTGGTGGTGGAACGTTAGGAGGTGTAAAGAAAAACAATTTCTGCTGCAATGATACTTTCGCCATGGCAAACGAAGACAAACGCGGTTCGAATGATGCCTCGTAAACAGCTGGATAAACCCTTGGGTCAATCGATTCTGTGTAACGCAAACCCACTGCACGTGGAAGTAAATGAGAAAATAATCAAAAGTACACTCACATCAGCAAATTCTTATCACCTGTGTCAACTTCATAATCCAGCCAAAAACTTAAGTGATTCATAGCAAAGTGATGTTATCAAAACGTTAAAGAGAATGTAGCCTCCTGGAGACTATATATATATATATTTCTTGAGAAAGAAATTCACGTCACTTTCTGAGCCGGCCCGATAAAGGTCAAATCTGGTATCCGCAAGATAGCAGTATGATCAACTTCGGCTGACCCCATCACTTTGGTCAACAAATATCTTCAAACCGCAGTAAATTTTAAGGTGAAAGTGACTGTCACAAAAGTCAGATAATTTTTAAGAGCTTGTTTTGTCAACAGACCCACGATTGCTACATACATTATTTTTCAAAAGGAAACTTAAATTATATTTTCCGATTGGAAAATAATTCAAAGCCTCAAAAACTGGGTAGAATAGCATCGTAGTACGATTATAACAATTGTATTTCAAGGACACTGTTCATCATTTTCAAGGTTGGTTTCATACCTCCAAAGCCTTTAATTACAGTTTTTTGTGGAAAGTACATTTTTGCATTGTCATTTAATAGTTGAAGAAGACTGTACCAAACTACACCAAGTATTTGTGCAAACTTAGGCTTCCATGAGGTGAATGCGAATATATATGCTGTGGGGAAAAGAAGAAACTCACTTTGTTCCAACAACAGTCGGGTCACATTCAAAGCTTCCGCATATCGCCCTTGCTGAAGTGGAATAAAACAGAACGAGGTTACAAACTGAGACAACACTTCTGAACTCGGCATTATCATGACTTTTGGCAGATCATACATCGCAGTTTGCTTTATCCATCATCGACATCAACTTTGATCAAAATTTATTCCACGCTCAGAATTCGTTGGATTTATGTAAGGTCAAAACGCCCACTTCAGCACAGAAATTGAGAGATTTCGGCATGTTGGAAGTGAAAGAATTCCAATGATACTCTTCGGAACCACAATCATTTGAGCATCGCACTGCAAACCTCTTCATGTTATTCCAGCACGTACTAATATCGTTCGTCGTTGTTTTGATATAGTAGAAATATGCCTCCTGTGGAGACGTCTTTCTTTTATCATTGAGTATTCTTTGCTATCCGGCATCTTTTACACTACTCAGCTTGTGGTTCGCCGAGACAGCGTAACAGCAACTATGCATTCCAGTAGAAGTGACATAATAATTATGGAGGCCCGTGAAAACAACAGGTATTAGGAGTATTCGCTCTGAAATAATGGTAATATACGGCAGTCTATTGTCGAATTTTCATAAACACCCGATTCCGCGTCTGTTATTCTCCTTATTGTATTAATTCTGTCAGATCTCACAAAAGCTTTCATTTGCTAGCTGGAGTATAAATTTTGAAAATCAAAATCAAATCAAATCAATTCAAATCAAAATTTTGAATATCAGAACGCCGTGTGCAAATCACAAACGATTATTTGCATAAACAACTGGGATGTTCTGAACTTTGATCGGCTCCACTGGATTGCTAATAATATCAATATGGTTTATACACAGGAACCTCTCAATTTCTTTAATTACATGATGGTACTGCCAACATGGATCTCTTCATATAATGTACTATTTGGCAGTTTTTTACGCTTTTTATCCCCAAGCTTTGCTGCTCACTATCATTTCACCTGCGGGTCTCTGAGATCCCCCTTCCGAATAGTTAACGCCACCTAATTCCCTTCTTAACTTTTTATCACGTGCTAATCTCCTTTCCTATAGTCTAAGAAACGTAATGTCTATCGGGTGTAATTTCTGGTGTATGAAACAAACACAGATTGAAATACGATGGCAGAACGCAATAAATTTTAAACGTTGCAGAACAAATAAACTGCATCTATCAACTTTTTAATTATCATATTTATATAGATAACATGTCAATTGTCTTCAATTGTGTACGTCGAGGATGCACTGGTGGTCATACTTCAACCTACCCGCCCCAAGGCGTACGCCAAATGGTCCAAAATTTGGGTAGCGGTTGGAATAGCCTCGTAAGGGATGCTGAACTCTTCGTGTTCCGGATGATTGGTATCCCGTTTAGTCCTCGGCAAACCAGAATCACCCCGTTGTTCTCCCTCGATCTCTGCCTCTTCTTCCCACAGACGATTGTACGCCACTCGGAACCACTCCTCTGCACGAAGAAAATCTCCCTGTTCATAAGCTCTTTGACCCAAGTGCAAGCATTGGGCAGCTACAAAGTCACACGTGCACAGGAGGGATACGATAAAAAAATATTTATTAGTATTCACGAGCAGTGTAACCGTTGTACAAAAATATGAAACCTAAAAACTACCATCCATCGAAAACTTTGTGCACTCCAGGTATATTCGATAACCGACGATCGACGACGGGAACTCAAAAATATAAATCAAAGTCTGCGCACACATAAAGGTCAACAAACAGCATTATCTATCGGGCAAATTAGAAATAAACAGTAACTCATGGGAAAGTAAACCCTACTGGACAAATGTGGAATGACTGTAACTCGAAATGCGGATGTTGGTGCTGGTATGTTCTTTGAGCTGGAAGTGTTGTGGTTGTAGTAGGGGCAATAGTAGGAGCAGTAATAATGTAATTAGTAGTAGTGTTATTGTTGTTGTTGTATTGCTTTGATGGGATGTAAACTTCTAGCTCGGAGAACTTACCAGCAGTCAACTTCATCCCTTCATTATGGGCTTCAAATCTGTTTAGAATTCTAGTTCTGCCATTAGCTTTAACTGTCCCCAAAATATCTACCGAATAACGAAACCACTTCATTTGACGAAAGTTAATCATTACTCCATGTTCGAATAATGATTTTTTAAAAAGAAAGAAAATTGATGGTTAGCTATTATGTAATTGGATTATTCAATTTTAAAATAAAAGCCACGCTTCTTTGCGAAGATAGCATGTATTCATCTGAAACAACTCCTAATTAATAAATAAAAACTACACTTCACATAATTACCATAATTATCAATCAAATCCGAGATCATTTGGCTCTGTCCGGAACAAGCTTGAACGGTGCTTGCGTTACACCCAGAGCTGCTACAACATCTCGAACTCGAATCTGCAGGGTCAACAAACTAAATAATTCCTTCGTTCAATTCATACGGTAAAATTTTATTGCAAATTTGTATTTTGCCTCCAGGTAAATACCTCAGTAAGGAAGTGGACAGAAGTGAATGTCCATGAAATCACGTGGTATTTTCTCCCTAAAAGTAACCTCTGGCCCGGGATTACCACTAAATAGTTTAATTCAACACATTCTGCGATCGTAATGCGCTGAAATCTTCTTTGTAGTGGAATTTAAGCAAAACATTAAGTTTGAACAACCCAACAGATGAAATGATCCCATTTTTCAAATGACTAATCGCCGGATTACACAGTCAGAGTTTGAAATCAGCGTATTAATTTGAATTACCTCGATTCTCTCTTGATCATCGATTGCTAATAGTGCAAGCAAGCAACATGGAGCACACAAACAATGTCTTTTTCCTGATAGCTGGCTTGGCAGTTTCCCACCAGCTAAGCAGGTTTTCGCCACACATGCACACACACTGAAGTGCATTTGGATTTTCTCGATAGGTTCAATGAACGCGACTGCGCTCTGCACTGGGATCTGCAATAACCAAAAACACAATCTCTGGCACCCGAGGAAGCAACACTGACTAGAGAATTATCCACGAGGAAAGAAAATGTCAGACAAGTGCACGAGCCAGTAGTTGGTTAGTTCGTACAAAACGTATATAATTTCCAATTACCCGTTGAGATATGAAAACGTTGCGATGTCACACAAAACGGAGTAGTCGACAATTTATCTTTATTTTTTTATTAATTTCACATTCTTGTATTGAATATACAGAGATGTAATTTTCAGGAAGGGGGAAGCGGCCAATCAAGGGGCTGCCATTCAAACCACACAATGGGGTAAATCAGGTGGTGGTGGTGAGATTCGAACACACATCCACGGGGTGATAATTTGGTGACGTTACCACCGGAGGACGTAAGGTTCCATAATAATCCAAGGGCTAGATCAAAGCCACGGATTATCATCTTTCGAAAAGAAACTTTTGGGTTATTAAGTTCTTTGGTGCCACACAGCTGGCATTGTCATATTTTCATCTGCTCAAAATTCAAGGTCAAACTTATCGATATATCCTGTTTATTGCTGTATAAATTTTGTATCATCTCACCAGAAAAGTTGGGAAGAAAAACCTTGTGTTGATCATGCGCAGATTTAGAGTGATTGAAGAAAATGAAGTTTCAAGTCATTTGCACAAAGAATAAAAATCCTATAAGACAATTCTTGAAAGAGTTCGTTGTAATGTTAGCTCTGTAACTCAGTTCATCTAGAGGATAGTATATTTTCAACAACACATGTAGGTATTCCTTCGGTTGAAGCTAATTAAAATAACTGAATGTAAAATACCTGTTCAGACAGGACGGTTGCAAAGTCAAAGAACAAAGACTGGGAAAATCAGTTCTCAACTCAGATCTGCTAGTAAGAAACTCTGCAAAAGGGGGTGAAGGGAATTCGTATTTATTCACTCTCTTTTATTTATCAGGAACTGGAATTGTGTAGCATTTCGCAAGTTTCATCGACTGCGTACTTTCACTGACTTTGAGAATGGACAAACGAATTTCGGAGGAGTTGTACGGATGCAAAACGGCTCTTTGAGGAAAAACGTTTTTGGGTAAAGTTGGATGATTTTAACAGAAATAGTAATGAGGACATTCAAGTCACTCGGTTGACCACTTAACCATCTCCACCCGGTTCCGCCAAATCACCGAAAATGCCCTTTACTTTTCTCTGCTGTTTGCCGTATCCGTAGAGGAACATGTGATCAGAGCCAAAGAAGGAGAGTATCACTTGGGCATTGATAATAGCAATGTTTTACTTTTTCTGAAATATTCATTGATATTTGGCAACATCAGTGATTACTTTTTCCTGTCCATAAATTTGCATAGTGGCCGGGAGCTCCCTATGCAAGCTCCGCTTTCTTCAGCTATCTCCCCTCTCCCCTCAGCATTTCAAAAAAATGTCGTGGGTTTAGGATGCAGTTCGGCACATTGTTATCTTTGGAAATGACAAAATCCTGCGAGTCGTCTAAATTGAAAGTCGGTCAACAAAATTAGTGTCCGGTTGATTTTCACGTTCAACTAAATAGTCAGCAAGTTTTACAGGTCTCTCCACATTTACTAAGTGGACGAGCTGCTTTCTGTCCTATCTATGGTGCTCATTTTGATGTGTGCAAAATGACTGATTCACACAATCCAAAACAATCGTGTATGACTTTGGATTTTTAACTTCATCAATCAATGTTTCTATTATCGGAATATTAGTTTGATGGATGAGTGTGCCTGTGTTCCAGTCACGGATGCAAAACTGTGCAATGTAAATGTGAATTAATGCCGGTGATCACAACCGTTAACTTCATTTTCTCGTGCAGTCACCACTATGTTTGATGAAGACTGGATATCGGAAATATGATCATTAATACTCGCACCAAAATCACACTGAATAAGCAGTAAAATAATACAATCTAGGCTTTCTGAATTCAGTTCGTTGTTTGACGAAAGGTATACGTGTTTTAATTCCGTGCGCATACCAGTGGCTGATATTGAATCAAAACACAGCTTAGAGAACAAGCTTAGTTATCCTTTCTATACTCATTGATGTTATATAAAATGGGACGTATTAGCCAGGCGATCAGTCGTCGAAAATAAGCTTTTTTCAATGTGTACGTGTTCCCAAATCTCTCCCTCACATAAAGTGTATCGGACTATTGTGTGATACAATAAAACACAAATTCGATAGTGCAATGGAAGTAATTGTTGACACGGATATGCAGGAGGGTGTTGGTCGCATAAAGGGGCAAATTGCATGTGGTTTTGCACAGAGACTCCTCGAGCAATGGTGACTTGAGCAACTCCCTCCTTGATAGGCTGATATTATGAAGGGAGAAGTGCACTGGGGACACGTAGTATCAAGATGAGGTTCTCCAATGAGTCAACCGTTTGTTTTACTTCATTTTCTAGAGAACTTTAAAACAAGAGTCTGATGAGAAATTTTTTATTGTTCTATCTTTAAAAAATCGATAACCATGCCTGTTTTAGCGATAAATTGTAGACAGAATTCAACTATTACGTGGTCTATTGTGGTCTTGCACAAAATAAAATTAGGAAAGAAATTAAGGAAGCGAATTATATTTTCAACAAATAAACAAGCTACTAGTAGCAAAATTTTTATCACATAAGGAATAAAGTCAGAGAAATAATATTGCGGTCGATGGACCCCAACTGTTTACTGTTTATGAACGGATTTATCCCTATCGTATCCCCGTGCACATTAGTTAGACTAGGGAATCCATGGATTAAAAATGAACAATTAGGTTAGTGATGCTAGGCCCCGAAGTTATTGTGTATCACAGTTTAGCCACAACGCAACAAGGTGTTCTATACGCTGGCCGTGTTTGGTTCCTGCATCAAGCGCAGATCGCTTGTTATCATTCCCACATATTTTGTGATTTTTGATCAGTTAAATTATCGTTCTCTGATACTGAAAAAGGCACACGCCATAATTTTGGCAGCTTCGTGTTAATTTTCACGACAGACAGATATGATAAAACTCAATGGTTTTGTACGAACGGACAACTTACCATTTAATTTGGGACATTTCAAATCGTTTATTAGGTGTCCTCTAGCTATATTGTCCGCGGGCAGCTTGTATGTATTTTGCAACCGAAGTAAGGCATCCGCGGCTCCACTTAGATCACCACCTCCCGGTAGTTGGCTTATGTGAGTCTGAACNCTAGCCAGTAGATCCGCGACAACACCAGGATCAACATCCAATAGGCCGCCTTCTTCATCTTGACCGCCAACAATTGAACTGTTCAAAAGTTTCAGCAAATCGTGTTGTCTTTCAAATGCCAGCCGTTTTACTGTTAAATAAGCATTCACTGGATTTCCAAAGTAATCCTCTGGTGCTTCTCTCGGGTGTTGCTGATAACCATCTTTGGCCAATCGCTCAGCAACTTGTCGTATACGACTCAAGCGGGCTTCTTCCATTTGTAAATAGGCGTCCAAGTCTGAGGCCAGTTGTCGGCCTACTTCGGAAGCCTTGTTGATTTCTGCGGTTGCACTGAAATATTCCGCCGAGCATTGCGTCAATAATAGTGATCCAAAACAGAGAAGAACAAGAAAATTTGCCATGTTTCTTGGCGAGTACGGTTGACTAAGTTGATTCTAATTTCTGCCGGTTACGTTGGTCACGTTTCGCAGCA